ACAAAATTGTATATGCATTCCTTGTTACTCTACATCAAGTTAAAACTTAAGATTGAAAGTCCAATAAATAAACTATGACAATGTGTACTTACTGACATCACACATGCAGCTTTGCCGACCATGAGTCTCACAATATGGAATACACTTCCCTCCTTGACACTCCCCCCTCTCCAGACAGGGTGTTCTATCTATCATTGCTAAACTGCGTGGGCACTCTGATGAAGCTCCTGTACAGCGTGATTCCTGCTCACAAGTAGCTGGCTGTGCATCACGACACTTCATCTGGCCTGGCATGAACTGGCAGTTCTGGCAGCATGGGGAATTCTTGTCACTGCACACAGCTCCCTGGTTGCGACGTAGTTTGCAATTCTTATCGCAACAAGCATCATTATCTTCTGTACCAAGTAATCCTGCATCACACTCCTCATCACCTTCTACACGTAGGTTGCCACAGAAGGATTCTTCTGGTTCAGAGAAACAGCGGTTTGATTTGGCCTGCAGTACTTTGCGAATTGACCGCAAACTGCATGGTGAAAACCGCTAGAGAAAAAATAAGTGGTTCTCTAACTGTGACCATAAAAAAATTTCTTATACCTGTGTGTACAAATTTTTATGGGTCCAGGTTAATTTATTGTGACATCAGCCAAATAGTTTTCAGTTACAAACTTTCAGAACAGATATGGGAAAATAAAGAGAAATGTGTGTGGTGGGACATATTTGTTTACCATAGTTTTAAAATGCACTCTTTGCAATTATCAACACCTATCTCACTGGCCTTCTTGATCATTTATTAAAGATGCAATCTCTTGTTGCAAAGCTAATTACAATATAAATAGCAAAATGCATAGTAAGAGTAATAAATAATTTTCCGTGAATGTGTGTTTGCACATTAACACACACAAAGTTCTAGGCATTAACAAGAGTTACATTGTGTGGAAAGACCAATATTTTGTAAAGTGAGTTATGTTTCAAAAAGATATGTAAGTATCAAGTTTGATTACAGCTCCATGCATATTGTATTTATTGGGTATATAATTAAATTAAACTCACTGAACAACTTTCAGTACAAATCCTCACCAACAAATTTCATCAAAAATTGTAATGTAGTTTCAGAGATGAACCATGCAGATGAACAGACAATTGACCTCCACATTACCAGTTTATTTTCTGAACTTTGTGAAGAAAACATAAACATGCTAATTCCAAAGCAAGAAGCTAGGGTGTATATTAACCTCACACACACTGGAAAAAGGTTGAGCTAAAAATCTATTTACATAACTTATAACCCACATATTAGAACTACTCACCTTATTGTTGATATCATATCCACTAACACTATAGGTGTACATGAGGTAGGAGCCCCCTTGACTGGCACTGGGGCTACATTCTGGAATATCAGGGTCATGCTCAGAACCCCAATTGTGACCAAACTCATGAGCAGTAACAAGATCAGCCTCTCGCGTTATAACTCTCTGTCCATAGTGATTCCGACTTGAGCTCAGCCCAGAGTTCAGGTAGAGGGTATACCCATTCTTGAAGTATTCTGCAATGTCACAATCTATGAGATAAACAGCAGCAATCCATAGCTAAATTATGACCTGAAACTCATACTTATTTCACTTACTGCAGTGCAGGGGCTCATAGTTTTATCTTGCCCACAACATAAATCAAAAGAAATACTTGTGCTTATTAGTAGGGGCTTAAATCAACAGGAATTACATTTGACTTCAGAAGACCTGGTTACTGAGCACTAAAGACATGCTAGTATAAGTTTTCGAGCTGACACAGCTAAGCTGCTTAACAGCAATTATGTCTTGTGTTGTAACACTTTGTCCAGGAAGAAAAAAGTCATGTTACCATAATGCAAAAATACAAAACAGTACAGTCAGTTCCTTCTTCTAGTGCTACAATATAACTGCACCTTAATTTCATAAAACACAACACATTGCACATGATTCTGTTAATGACTTCAAATTAAGTTGTTGTAAAGTCAAGATCACAAATTCCAGTGGCTTTCACATATGAAATTTAATACTGCCTTCTTCTTTTTACTTTAAATAAATTAGTTTTTTGTCAAATATCCATGTAATAATGCCACACCTTTATCATATGTAAGGAGCAAACTGTCTAAATATGAAAATCAATTTACTAATTGCATTTTTTATTCTTAGTTGATTTAATGATGCTTTCAACAGCTCAGATTATATAGCATTAAATGATAGGATGCTTATTGAACAATGAATTGGGAAGGGTGTGGAGGGAATTGACCATGACCTAAGGAGACTGGAGGAAAACATTAACATGGTTGTTAGGGAGGCATGTTGTGAGGATGGAGAGCGAAGGAACTGGCTCAGCACTGTGTCCAATGGCAGGCTTTGGTATTACTAGTGTTCAGCCTTGAGGTGCTGCTACCTTAATGTTAGTTTGTTAGTCTGATACCAGAGGCATAAAAGAATCAGCATTCAAGCACAAGTTTTATACTATATTCCGTCTTCACCACTACCAAACAAAATCAAGATTTGATGTACCAAGTCAAAAGTTAATTATCACAGAAAGGAGAGCATAAATATCTTGAAGTCTCTACTAGGTACAAAAATATCTGCTTGACTGAGGAAATCCATACACAATTAGCCTACAGATTTTAGATCTAAAACCTTTATAGGCCAACAGTGATTGAGGCCCATCACATTTGGCTGACCTGGTGTGCAGATTCCCCCAACAGAGTTGCGTCGGGGAGAGCCAACATATGCCAGTCCCAGTATCCCACCCTCAAACTTGAGGTCAGTGAATAGATGTGCAAGGCAGAAGTCCTTGTGGCTGTACTCCCGACTGAATACCTAGACAGCAAGCACACAACCCCAGCACCACAACTGCCCATTAATTACCCAGTCCACCACCACCACCACCACAAAAAAAACACTAAACATGCAGTTAATGAAATTGCTGTTACATCTCCTTACAACTGTTAAAAGTTTCTATACAAATGAGCATTTCAAAAAACATTGGTTTTGTTGCACTTCACTGTTAGTGTGATTATAGCAAGTAGAAGATAGAAAATGTAGTATATACAAGAAAACAAGAATTACATACAAAATTTTTGTTGGACCAATTCATAGAAGATATATGTGTACCATTAGTGTAGGGGGTTCCATGAATGAGAGTGCAAGGCCTCGGCGACTAACTATGGATGCCAGAAAACCTATATTCCTTTTCTTATCTTCTTACAGTAATTTTTGGCATAACCTGAGTTCGCATATATATTTTTTTGAATGCTGCCTGTCCAGGTCAATCCCAATCTCATTTAATTTTAAAACAAAAGCAGATGACTCCTAGGATTTTAAAACTCCACAGAGTAATTAAAATGAAAGCTGTATAAAATTCTAACCTAAATGAGAAATAATAAACAATAAATAACAAAGCATTCATGACAGCTTCTTATAAATGAAAGATTTTTATTAAATTTAAACTCCTGCAACCATGTAATATCTTATGCTCCTCAATTCATAAAGTACAAATATGCTAAATGCATGCAATGTCATAATCCTGCAAGAAATACTTAAAATGATGGCAACAGAATACTGCTATGTAACCAATCATCTGTAAAGAATACAGAGGACAGATTCTTTTCTGTTAGTGTAACAAAGTTGTAAACATGATTGTAATATACAGATACCAGAGTCAAATTTATTTACTTAAAGACCCCTGGACAGTTCACGATGCTTGTCTTTAGCATAATATATTTTGGTTTTATAAATACAACTTTTATGCAAAAAAATATTAATAAAAAAGATTATGAATTTATCTTTTTGACATAAACAAAGAATACATGAAGATGGGCTCCAGGGTTCATGGATCCGTACACTAACATACCAGGCTCTGGAAATGATCAATCATGACACAGACAGAAAAGTCAGAACTCCAACACAATCACCTCTCTCGAACATGTCTCGTTCTTAGCCTTCAAAGAAGAAGGGCATAATGTAGGATACTGGTGTGTTATGTTGATTATTGGTTCTTTCTTATTCATCACGTTTCACAGACTCAGTTCACTGTTCATTCACTGGAACACATTTTAGTCCTATGTGGCCATCATCAGGTTCAATTACTTGCTTTTAAGTCATTGCACTGGGGATTATTATTGTTAATAATGACAAGATTCTCTTGACACATATTAGACACCAAACATACTGTGACGTGTCGCCGTGAGTGCCGCGGACTCGCACTGGAGGGGAGGGGCCGCCGTAATTCCAGGTTGCCTGGTCTGGATCTTACATCATCTTGGGAGGGGAATATAAACAAAGTCGCATTCCTGGACGCGGCCGAGTGCGGTCTAGCGAGTAAGCTGGAGGGCACGGCGGCAGCAAGACCACGAAGCGTTGAGCGTGTGATTAGTGTGTGTGGATCCCCATGTAAAAGTGTTTGTCGGATCATACTCAAGTTAGCACACTCCAAACAGCAAGGGTTGACAATAAAGGGCGTAACTACCCCGGCCTACGTCATAATACATATGGAAACATAGGGAACACAATGACATAAATAAGAAAAGCCAGAAAAGAAAAATTTCTTAACAGTCTGAAAAAAATACTACACATTCCTAGCTAGCAAGCAACCATAATAATCCTATCTTCAAAAAGGTACACAGAAAACTTATAACATATCCCCATAGATAGCAGCACATTAACCTTTCAACCCCTCACAACACACACACACACACACACCATACCCCACACCATTCTACAAGGATGCACCACAACATATAGAACTCTGGTAAAATAATATTTCACTACTACTGGGTCTACAATTTATGAGACTCGGAGCGTGCTTGCATTGCGTGGTCGGCCGGGGCTCTGTTGACGTGGGCGGGACTTGTGCGCGTTCTTCCCATGAATCACAGACGAATCAGTTTCAGTGCCGCTAGTAACAGCGAACTATAAATATTTCTCGTCACTGATACATGTTATTACATTAATTGTTCTTACCTTAAATCACAAAAGATGTTGAAAGTGATTTCCTTGTGCTTGCAGGCAAGCATCACATCCCGTTAACATGTTTTGAAATACTCAACGAAGCTCTTGTTGGGATATTGCCGAAATGAATTGTCGAATATTTTTGTTAAGTTCTTCTGCAGTGTGCAGATGTTTACATAAACTGTGTTCTTCAGCATGCCCCACAGGTAAAAATCGCACGGGTTCAAGTCTGGGGAATGCGGAGGCCACTTATCGATTACTTGTTCACCAAACACTTCTCTTAATGCTAACATCGACCGATTACCTGTGTGAGCTGTAGCATTGTCTTGCATGAAGAAACCGCAAGTCTTTTCTTCATCGGTCATTTCTTGGAAAAAGGGTCAAGTATTAAATTTACATAACGTTCACAATTTATTGTTTCATTATAAAATATTGGCCCTATTATTCTCTTGGAGGTAACTGCACACCAGACTCCAACCTTAATGTCATGAAGAGGATGTTCATGCAACTGATGTGGATTTTCGGAACTGTAGTAGCGGTTGTTTTGAGTGTTGACATATCCACTTAATTGCAGCCATGCTTCATCACTAAAAAACAATAGCTCTGGATTAACAATCCCATCATGCACGGATCCCAACATCCAATTGCAGAAATGAATCCTAGCACCACTGTCAGGATTTGTGGGTCTCTGAACAGTGGTCTTATATGGTCGCAATTTCAGAAGTCTCGTTGCTGTGTGAGCAGATCCCAATGACACGCCAGATTGTGCAACTAAACATGCCAAAGATTTCCTTGGACTTTTTCTAAGCCCCAATTTCTCTTCCGTCAATACACTCCGTTTCTTGTACTTCTTTTTATCCAAAACTGATCCCGCATTACGAAATTTTTTTACTAAGCTCTCTATCATGGACCTGCTAGAAACACTTACACCAGGAGAATGTCTGCGAAATTTACGGCAGCATCTTCCGTAGGATGAATATTTGGCATATGTTTCGACTAAGAACACATGTTGCTTAATACTAAACACCATATTATCAACGTCAATCCGCTACGAGAGATGCAATGAAACTGATTCGCCTGTGACTCATGGGAAGAACGCGCACAAGTCCCACTCATGTCAACACAGCGCCGGCCGACCACGCAATGCAAGCACGCCCCGAGTCTCAAAAATTGTAGACCCGGTACATATCACATCCAGTAATTTAAAGCTTTCTGTTTACAGATTAAAAAACACACTGGGACTTGCCAAGTTGTGCAAAAAACATTAAACATTTTTGGAGATCTTTTGACATTTCTAACTTTTTAACCATTTTAAGTAATTTAAAATGTTTTATCAAATAATTATATCATTTTTTGACATCAAGAGGAGGAAAAATAATCCTCACAGTAATGACATAAAAGGAGGGAACGGAACCTGATGATGACCACACCAGATCAAACCATGTTGTTCTGGTGAATGGACAGCAAACTGGGTGTATGAAAAGTGACGAACAAGAAAAGACCAAGATTCAAAGAAGCTTAAGTGCACCATATGAACAGAATTTCAATTTACATTCTGAACAAGAACTTAATTTGTGGAGATGTTCCATCTTCCTTCACATCACGAACACACAGTTATCCCAGTCAAGATTTGTATTATAATATATGCAGTAATTCTAGTCACCACACCCTGTTCCTGTTCAAATTGCATGAGACTACACTTGATGACTTATAGCTGTGTTGCTGTTCCTCCACTCCTGTAACTATTCATAAGCTATGGTATCAGCTCACTTGGAGTGACCACTCAATTTAATTATTTTTGGGTAGGAAATAGAATGACTGCTCATATTACAGTAATTAGTACACATCCCCACATGATGTCCATTCCTAAATTCAGAAAACTGAAATATTATTAAATATTAACAGTAGCTCCATCAATGCCCCATATACCTTGCAAAGCACAGCTAGTCTGAAGATTATTACATCACTTGTAGAAATCATCTATCACCACATTCATAACACTGCAAATAGAAGAAGAACAGCCTTTATTTAACATAATAACCATACTGCTGCTAAATCAGTTTCACATACTTTTCAGTAAATATAGCAACCACATATATGTAGTAACATGACATGCTTTTTCTCAACACCTCAAACCAAAAATTCTGAGACACTAAATTGAAATAGGTCATGGCAACTTTATTCCCAGCTGTTTACAGCTTGCCCCATATAATCATTTTCTCTTCTCATCTGATACGAAATTCTTGTGTCAATACAATGTTGTTAAATAATCCATGAACCAACCACAAAGTAAAATTCAGAAACATATCTCAATAAAAGTGTATTCACTAATTTCAAACACTGCATAATGCTTATTGGTGGAATGGTAGCCTTCAGTGCATATGCAAAGTTGTTATAAAGGACTCTTACTATAGAGTACACAATATTTTGAATAATAATTCACAGCAGCATGATTACTTTAAATAAGAGCTGCTCCGTAAACAAACAATAAAATTAAATTAACCAGGAGAGCAGATTCCTCCCTTGGAGTCACGTCGAGACGAAGCCATGTATCCCAACCCTAGAACTGTTGAACTGCCAGCGGAAAATGTCTGGTGAGTGAACAGATGAGCCAGGCATGTGTTGGTAGCCTCTTTATAACGAGAAAACACCTGAAATGTAAGTACAGAGAAGCATTGTTTCATATGTATTTGGTACATGACATGATAAAATGAACAGTATCACTCAGTTCCTGCATATATAATATGTAATCTTTATATCCAAATTCATCAAATTATACAGCATCTGTTTATCCTAATTATGCACATATATATGCTGAAGTTTCAATTTAATCTTCCTTAGGAAACAAATGAAGGGAAATTAAACCAAGTAATCTGAAATATGAGAAATAAAATACAAGATCAAGGAAAGACCATTAAATGTTCTCTAGAAAATATTACACAATATATCACAAATGCCAGTGATGAAGAATCCCACAATTCCATTGTACATCCATTGGTTCTGGAAACAATGATACAATACCTTCATAAGGAAGTAAAGTTTCAAAATTATGAATTTAACTGAAACCAGTATATTCTAAGTATGAAAAATATGATGTGAAATGTTATGTTGTCTTTTAATGTTTCAGAGATGTCTGACATGAACACATTAAAATCTATTTCTGCAACTGACCAAACAGTACCATGCATGGGATAAGGTACAGGGAACATAATTTTGTTACACAAACCTTTTGACCTTACAAATTTTAAGCGAGACATTTTTTGAACTACACCATACAAGGATGCATGAGGTTTTCTCACTGTTTTAATAGATACATGATATAAGGTGTTTTCAAATGTATATACAAAGCAAAGTATCCTGTTCAGGAGAATGATTTTAAATTACCAACATTAGTATGAATGCTAACAATATAAAAGTTCCTTCAATAGGCAAATACGCACAAGTGCCAATTTTCAAACTAAACACAAGGCTTTCAAAAATTACATACATCTTACACTGACAACCTTACCTCTAATAAGTTCCGCACATCCCATTTCTCCCGCACCATATTGTAATGTGCTTCTCCACCACGCACTCTGGTAGGTTCACTATGAACTACAATCTTCTTTATTACAAAACCCATACCCTTGAAGCCATCCTGCTCTTGTCGGTCCTGCCAGGTTGTGTCATTATAGATCTTGTGCACTCGGTCAATCAGGCTAATCTGTCATGCAGTAAGAGAGATCACCTGACATCCTATGTAATGATCTATGTCTTAATTCTTTATCTTATGAAAACAAAATAAAAACTGAATTACAAGTTGTTAAAAATTGAAGACAGATGATATCAATGATGCATGACCATCAGCTGAAACTGAAGATTTTTAATCCATGCTGGCATTTTTCATAACTTATAATCTTCCTACTAAGTGTCATAATCCCTAACATTTGCATGTTATGTCATGGGCTAGCACCAAATGTAGATAAATATCTTCCACGTCAGAATCATGGAATGTGATTTCCAGGACAGAATGAACTTGGAAAATTCTGGGAGGAACACAATGACAATAAATAAAAACAAAAATTAATAGGTTCTGGTAGTAATTTGTGGCAGCAAAAGTTAATAACAGATGTTAATTAAAAGCAGAATAAATAATTAATTAAATGTAAAAAAGCATGGCCAAACAGGGAAACTTAAAATCCATATACAAACATGAAAAGCATTCACAAAGATTTGATGAATATACTAAGCTACAAGAAGACACACGATTCTTACTAGGTAATTAATGGTGGTCTTAGTATTGCTGCCACCCATTTCCTGGTAGAAGCGATAATCAGCCACAAGCAGAAGGGGGCATCTTGTTTTTGTTGGAGTGGATACGTACTCGTCAGCGTCCCGTTTGCTTCGTATTTCAAAGCTGTCATCATCCTCAACTCCTTCATGATCTACAAACGCAATTTTAAAATCAGCAAACAGCACAAAGTTAGATAATTCCTGTAGCAGCTACATAGAAATGTTAATACAAAAATTAGTAGTCTAGTACTAAGGTAGCTGGCATTCCATGCCGAAGGTATTGAACAATCAAATCCAGATGGATATTTTCTGTCTTCTTCACACATTACTTTTAACGAAGTGAAAACTTTATGAATAAAAGGAATACCAAGACCTACTTCATTATCGTCCAATTACCTGAAGTGAATTAAACATCTATCTATGGTGCTACAACCTCAGAAGTACATTCTTTCAACTTGTCAGCTAAATGGAGGTCAGTTAGGTAAAGAAGAACATAAATGGCAGCATTAGAATCAAAAAACTATTTGTTACAAGAAACAATTCTATCAAAGAAGGCTGTCTTCTGGGATGTAGCACTGTGTAGTGTGGTTAAGTTTACCAATATTTCAAAGGTCCTTCTGCCTCTATCAACAGGGTGATGAATAAGCTGCTTGAGATATAGGAACCAGTTAATCAAGGTTGAACCTTGACTGGAGGACTAGTAGGAATTAAGGTCAGAAGGTTCTCACTAATGTCAGAACCTCAAATCCCACTTAATTCTTACATCAATTCCGGTTCTTAAAGACTGTGCTAAAGTATATATGTGATGGGTTATTAGTTCCTGATTCAGTCTCCAAAGCATCATTTATTTTTATTATTTAAAAAAAAAAGGTTTATCAGCTATCAATATTTCTACAGGTCCTCAAGTTCTACTATCCATTCTTCTTAATTTTCAATTGTTAGGGTTTCCATATACTATTAATTTACATTTCACTGAACTATGTATCAAAAGGAAAAGTTAATATACTACAGCAAAACAATGAGTTCATAAGCCAAACTTTTGAAATTCCAGAAAGCAACTTACAGAAGGTTGTCCAGTTCAGAAAAATCAATAGAAATGGAGAACCAAATTTATCATTCTCCATATCTTGAATAAATATGTTCTGATAACTGTCATGAGAGTCTGCCTATCTAAAGCCTCTGCATACTGCATCTCGAAACTTGTTTAAGAAACCAAGGGGTCAAGTACCCTCTGAGACTGCCTGATATTGCAATCAGAGCCACAGAAGGAGCAGTGCAGTATACATACACTAAAACTACCAACAACATCTAGTAAGTTTACAAATGGTAACTTGCTCTTAATTTACTAAAGTGTTATGGATTATTTTACAATAAAGTCTTTCTTCAAAAAATTTATTTACATAAAACATAACATTTAATCGATTGCAATTTCTAGCTGTGCAAGTTTTAAAATCATTGTTCTACATAATGGGCACACAGATTAAGATGAAATTTGATCAACAGAATGTTTGCTTCATTAAACCAGAATATTTCAATTAAGCAATCAGTACTTGAAGTATCACAATAAGCATAAACTACTAAGAACATATTACTCTAACATTTATGTGAAATGTCTGCACATCATACAATAAACAGATATTTATTCTTACCTTTTACTTCTGCATATTTCTCAGTTTACCTAGCAGGCTACCTTACAATAGGCAATACACACTTCCACGTCTTGTATAAATTGCCATCCATAACAAGCCTCATTTTTTACTTTACACTATGTAAACTATGCAACAGATTCAAAGAGAATTCAAACTCACCTCTGTCTTGTCCCTCTCTCACATAGCCACAAGTGCGTGGCCATGTGTCTGTGTCTCCTTGTCCTTCCCCATAGTTCCAGCTATAATGAATATCTGATGCTCGGTAAGCAATCATTGTTTGGTTGTCCAAATGTGGCAGGTGACGCCATGATGGCTGATTTAAACAAAAAAATTTCACATACTGTCACTCCTGTGAAACAGCCTGTGTGCTGACTAGAGTTCCATTAACCCTCATACTGTAGCATTGTGCGGTGAGAAATTCTGGGTTCTTTTTAATAATGTTTGCAATAGAATCTTCTGTTTGGAAGATCTTGTGAGAGTCCCATGGCCCTCCTCTGTTTAAATAATTCATACATAGTAATGGTCTACATAGTGTTCTCACTTTTTTAAACTCATTATACAGTTCCTGTGTTCACTTAAACCAGAAGCAAGGATTTTTAAATACAAAAACAAATACTGAATAATGCAAAACAAGTCATTACCTCAATATGGTATGTCTCTTCTGGGACATGAATAGTTGCAGTCATGACACCATCTTCCAAATGGACACTTGCTTCAGAGGAGACTTCTCCAAACAATCGGCCATCATAAAAATTTTCATGATCTACAGAAAATTAGAAGACTGGCATTACAGAGCTTTCAATTCATTTTTCATATTACAATGCAAGTGAAAATAAAAATAACAAAAAACTGAAATTCAGACAGGATAATGTCAAATAATTTTGGACTGTGAATTGACAGGCAAAAAGAATGAACTGTCACTTTCATAAAACTCTATGACACAAGAAGGCAGCAAACAATATGGTTACACAAAAGTTCATATACCAACATTAAGTGATTTATTATTAACAATTTCATTCCAACTCAAAAATTTACAGTGTTAAAGACTGGAAATTCAATTTGCTATCTGTGACCAATGCAGTGATTTATACAATAAACATCACAAAGTGGAACTTACCAACAAATATGGGAGTTTCTTGACCATCTCCATCTACTGTATAAGCCTTAAATTTGGAATGGAGAATGCCTTTCTTTGGAGTAAGAATTAAACGAAAGTCTCTGAAAAATAACAACAACACCTGTAATAAGCCTTACAAAAAATATTTGAAATCAAACATTACGCCCAGACTTAATCTTCACTGCAGTCACCTTCTAAGTGTGCTGAAGATCACTTCTCTTATTTTATTGAATGGATGATCACTGTGTTTAATACCACTCTTCACAACATTGTGGCTGAACTGAGAAGCATGGAGGGTCTCATAGTGTTTTAGGTTTTTATCAACTGAACCTGAAATATAAAAATATGCATAAAAAATTAATTAAATCTCTGGAAATTTCAGTAAATATCATATCCCACTCAAAATAATAAATAAACTTCACACCAACATAACAGTATGATACATAAGTAAGCCTGCTTCATTTTAAAGTCATTATTTCAAATCTCAGCCAAAAGACTAACTCAACTAAGATTCTGTCCACTGTTTCCTTCAGTCACTCCATAAAAAATGCCATGACAGTAAATAAGTAATATGCAATATACGGAATGCATAAAATAGGACATGGCAACTTCTTTCCAACCCATCATTAAATGACATCCTGTTAGTCACTGGTATGTAAACTATACAGCTGACTGCTCTAATTGTTTGTTCCATCAGATCATTTGCAAATGACCTCTCTGGTAGGTACTTCTGGAAAATGCCTCCTATTCATAATGGTACAAAAATAAGATGCTGAGAACAAGTGTTAATAAGTAGATTACACTGTGTACAAGTAAATGAAAGAAGCAAATTTAAAATGTGGAAGCTACATATTTCAGCCTCCTTAGAACCACTGACAATGACACCAAAACAATCAAGTTTATCACAGAACTCTTATTTTATTTACACTTACTAAACCAGCCCAAACATAATATAAAGTTCTGTAAACTAAATTAAACATGTTATCAAATTCAGATTTGTAAAAAAAAAATAATTCAAAATTGTGTATAAATATAACCAAAAACTATTATTTAGATAATGGTCTTCTGGACTGTTACACTATGTAGTCTTCTGGCTGTATCCCTACATTTTGGAGGAACATGTTTCCTTCATCTTCAAGGTTGAAGTAAAGATCATAAAAAGAACAAAGATCATCCTGATAGAAGGCCTTGACACATTCGAAATAGATGCTACTGCTACCAGTGGGAGGTGATCCCATCAGGCAACTTGCCCCTAACAATGATGGATGGATGTCTGGGACTTGATCCCAGAAGGGTTTGGATTGCTTTGGTTGATAGCCACTGCAATTTGAGTGAGGAATTATTTTGGCTGAAGGTCTCCATGATTGTGGAAGGCAGGCCATACCCATTTTGAATTACACCCTGACATTTCCCTTAGGAAAAGCACAAGAACCTCAGTCAGGGTAGCCAAGTAGTTAGACAGTACTAGTTATGCCAACCTGGCCATCTTTTAGGGACAGCCTCAGCTGAGCATCAGTCCACCTTAATTACCCTTGGTTAACTTTAGTCATCCCTTGGTCAGCACAAGAGCCTTCCAAGTTGCCAAAGAAAGGGGTTCCCTGCATCAGCTAACTTAAGTTAAAACTCTCAGTCAGTGCTCTGATGTGGTCAGTGAAGAATGGAGTCCCCAAATCCTCATGAATTTGTCTGTTATCAATATACCAAGATACATAAGTAACAATGTGAAGATATTTGGATTGTTAACACTTGCAGCTTCTGGACATGGCTATGGGCAGTGGACATGTGTAACCAAGCATAGGATGGACATGCCACTTCTCAATTTTTAAGCTGCCTTCTTTCTGGTGGTTAGTTTGTAAAGAAATTTCACCCATATGGTGTCAATGGCTTTAACCACAACCAGGAAAATTGCACCAGTTAGCTGCCTCTCATCAAAGTTTTTGTTGACTCATTCAACAAGGTGCACCATCTGCAGTACTGTACTGTGTCTGCATCAAAACCCAAACTAATCATCATGCTGCAACCTGAGCTCATTTACTTCTCAGAGGACGCTAGTAAATAGAATTTGTTTGAAGAGATTGCCAAGTGTCCAGTTCACCTATGGGTCCATAAGAAGAAGGAAATGTGAGGTCTTTCCCAGATTCAGTGCGGATACCATATAAGCATGTTTCCATGCTCGTGAGAGATACTGCCTGCAAAGAACTGTGTTGAACACTTTTGTGATTATCATGCACTTTGGTAAATGTCTCAAGACCTGGTTGTGAATGCCATTCAGGCCCACAGCATTGTCATTTGGTTGGATCATGTTCTTATCATTTTCTAAAACACTGACCATGAAAGTTTTCATCAGGTGATTTGAAGATGAGTGGAAAATTTCTCCTAAACTATAGAATGGAAACAAATCAGATATCGTATCGCATATACTAACATTACTATACAGTTCTGTTAATCTTTCACACAACCAAGCATCTCCTTCCTCCTATCAACTCAGGTCACAGATTTGTGGCAAGCTCTTATGAACTTTCAGCCTCCATTAACATGCAAGGAATTTCTTGACTAGCCAAGTGTAGTTAGTTTTTCAAGGAATCTTCATGGATTAGTTTAGTCTAACTTAGCAAAGTCAATACTGAACTTTAATCTTACAATGTAACAAGACCAGAAATTCACAAGGAAATTTACCCCTCCTTCTAACCTCAAAATATTAATTCTCAAATCTTTCATATCAATATGCATAAGTATATTATATATTGTTCATTAAATGCTAACTGCATAAAGTATCAGAATACTACAATTATTTCATATTTAATTGGTGTGATAATCTGAACGTTATAATAGGCAGTGGCTATTTCCAATGAATTTATGGTTAGAAAGTATATAAAGATACTGAAACTCACATGTTACAAAATTAAATATCTGAAAAACTACAAATAAGCACAAAGTAACTTTGAAAATACTATAACCGTGCATATCCACTGAAATTAAATATGATTCGCGCTACTTCATACTTCACTACCAACGCCTAATTCAACTCCCGTGATAACCAACCAAGAAAAAGCTAACTACGGGCCGAGTCCTGCGCAAGCGCATCGTCCCTTCCTGCTGGAAAGCCATGACACACCCGACTCTTTGAGTGTTCACACATTTGTGTTAGAACATACAGTTCACACACATGGCAAAGTATGACTCGAGCATTTACACTTAAACCAATGTAACCACAATTTACGAATTGTGTTTGTAGCTTTTATACCCTTACCTCTGCACGAATAAATCCGATCCTTGTCGAAACAATCAGCTGAGAAACTGAAATGCTACCATTTGATTGGCCAAGTTTTGGTGATGACACATTTATTTGACATCAGGAGTTGTAGGGGCCCCATATAACTGAAGGTTGATAAGGCTCATAAATATTCATTTAATTTTTATAACACAAGTGGAATAACACCTGTTCATAATTAGCCGGGACAGGTGTTTATATTAATGTGTTTTGTTAAAAGTTTATTTCACTTCTGGAGTTTGTATGGGCTTGGTGTGGTTTTGTGGGCACATTGATATATGCAATTTATTTTTATTTTCAGCATGTAAGGTACACTCGTCTAAAATGCTGACTGGTCGAAGGAATACAATTACAACATTTATTTATTTTGTTTTGTGGGTGTGGTTTCTATCTGTGTGCCTGGGACATGAATATAAATTAAACCCACAATTGAGACAGTTGTGTCCACGGATTTACTTGAGTGTTTTCACTAGTTTTGCTCCAAGAGGAAATGAAACAGCAGGTTCTTACTCAAAGAAGGATGATATACATTCTTTGGAGGATTGCATTACAAGTTGCTGTGAAGAAGAAGGTTGCAATGTTGTTTTCATGCATGATTCAACTTGTTACCAAGTATGTCAACATACTTTGATTTTGTCACTGTATGATTTACTCTAAATTAAGTTTATAAATTTCATGAATGAGAGTCTGTTTCTTCTTATCTTTAGATCATGTGTATTACTAGTGAACTTTGTGCACCACTGTTCCGTCCAGAGCCAAAATTTGGCAACCACGTTAGCATGATACTTGTTCAACCTGTATCTCCATCTGAAACTTGGAAAGACATCATTGAATCTACATGGGCAAATGACTACAAGAAGTATGTTCCTTTTATTATGTTGTCATGCATCATATTTATGTAGGAAACATAAAATGTATAAAAATAAAGCATGTTGCCTTTTTACTTTTGTGATCTTTTTTACAGTAAAAACTCAGCAATGGATCTTGCTGAAATCCATTATAATTGTGAAGTTGGTGTGGTTGTGGATTGTCCTGTGAATGAAGTATGCGTGCAGATTGTCAAACATTCTCGCAATGGGATATGCCAATGTGTGGAGGATTACCAACGAAATTCCACTGGCATATGTACTCCTGTTGGTTAGTATGTGGAGTAAAATTAGGATACAGGGTTTGATGGTGTAAGAGGATATGTTTATTAAAAGATGGAAAATAGCTTGGCACAATTTCTTCTTGTAACAGTGCAGAATATAATTTGGGCCTGAGATCTTAGCCTTACCTGAAATAACCTTACAGGCCAAACTATCCTAAACTAAACCAAACAGGATTGGTAACCCAAACCATACCCTTAATTTCAACTCATTTTTCTACCAGTGTAAACTTTTTCCCATATTAATGCAATGATGACAGTTTTGGTGACTCTATAAATCTCTGTAATCAGTTTGGATCTCAGCTTGGTTTTGCTTCTCAGTGCATAATGTACCAGAACTCTATGAATGAAATATGTGAGGTTGCTCTTATGAATGAATTATGTTCTTCATAATCACTGCAAAGGACTTTGTTAAAATGTATTTTGCATGTCTGTTTCAGCTACAGGTAAATTCAGGTCCAACAACACAATGAAAACATTCCATGCTGAACTACCAGCTGTCACACCAGCTGTTCTCCACCCGACTAAGGTTTGTATTATTCTGTCATGTACCCTCATTGAGTGAATAATATTACCGAAAGCAAAAACAGCATGATTTTGAAAATGGCATTAACGTGGTAAGGAAACCATGGTGCCATGAAGATGTATTTGGGAGAAGAAATAAAGCTTCACACATTCTTAATTTTAGCACTAGTTGGAGGTCAGTGGTCAGCTTCACATTCTAGTTGCTTTACCCCCCCAGAAAGAGTTTCTAGTTCCGACTGCATACAATACTGATGCAATAAGTTTAAAAATAGTATTGGGCTTGGATCCTTAGTGTATGTATAGACCTATCCATAAAATTGGAGTCATAAAAAAAACTGTGTACATATAAGTGAAATGTACTTATTTAAGAACGTCACAGAAGTTTTTGTGTACATAAGTAAAACCATGTGTAACACGCTTACACTGGAAAAACATTACTGGATACTGGAACATATTGTGCTGCTGGAAATATAATTACAAATACATTCTAGATGCTCTTGAGTTCAAGAAAGATGTTTTCAGAAGTCTGTCTTCCTTGATAGGATATCAGTGCACTTCCTACTGAAGAACAATTTGATCTGTTTGTTTCTTATAAAACTTTGTACACATGGTTTGTTTGTGATGAATTAGATATATTCAGAAGGAGAACTGGGAGGTAGAACAGACCCATTCATTCAAGAAGCAACCACAAGCAGACCCATCAAGCAACTTGTTGTATCAGCCATCTCAAAAGAAGTTCGTCTTCCAGAAAACGAGGTTACACTATCAGCATATACTGTCCCTGCAGAACAACCAGGTATATCATTTTTCTTAAAATCTCTACTAGGGTTATTAATCCTTAAAGCACTTATAAGATCATTAGATGCCCTATTACAAATAGAAATAAGGTTGAGATTTCAGGTTCTCATGGCGATTATCAAGATGGCTTGTTCTGGGATGCTGCGCTATGTAGTGTGGTAGAAACTGACAACATTTCAGAGGTTCTTACTGCCTCCATTATCAGGGCAAACTGTGCATGGTGCAACATCCCAGAAAATAGCCATCTACATAAATAAGGTTAGACATCATTCTAAGCAGTTTGCAACCATTTTCCATAATCACTCATGTGCTGTTAAATCACAGATTTACATGAGCTCTATTTTTAATATATCAGTATACAGTAAATGAGTATATAATTTAAATTGCAATATTTTCATGGTATGAGGCTCTTTGGAAGGTAAGGACAAAGAAGTAAAATGGGTCTTAGTACAGTAGTTTTAATTACTAGATTAAACTGACAATAAATAGGGCCCAATGGCATGTTTTCATAATGATTCATTAGTTTTGTAACATGTAATCCTTCAAAAAGGGGGGGGTTGCAGAAAAAACCTATTTGTTTGGCTCCCTATTTGAGCTAGTCCCAAACCTGTACCAGGTTTGAGGTGAGATATTACAATATTTAGATGATGGACAAATTCCAAAATAACTATTTATCACAATTTAATACACCAGTCAGAAACCTTTAAAAACTTAACCACCCTTATTTCATAGTACCTTCTTTTTTTGTACAGGTGAACACTATAAGTATGAGTGGACTTTCCTTGCACAGCCTGAGGGTGTCAACAGTGGCATCATGAATGATCAGAATGGAGAAACTCTGAAACTGAGCCATCTCATTGAAGGCCTGTACATGTTTAAAGTTAGCGTCTCTGCACCAGGAGCATATGGTGAGACATATGCCAACGTAACTGTGCTGCCACGTGAGTAATACTAGTACTAAGTAGGAACAGATTTGTGCTACACATTCAGAGTAAAAATTACACCACCATTTGTATACTTCTTGTGCACAGTTACTTAATTATGAATACACTGATCTTTTCATATTTTTTACTTTCAGCACACCTTTATGTAGACAACCCCTGATACTTTTCATCCACAATATGGCTGTAAGCCTAAGACTTCACAGACTTGGTAAAATGAGAGTTAAATTTTGTTCAGGCCTTATATCAAAATCCAAAACCTTGCACTAACCCAGTGACATACTTGGATGACTGTGAGACATAAATCTGTTCAGGATATTTTAGTTAATGCTTGTTACAATTGAATCTGTCTTCTCGCCTCATATTTATTTAATTTTTGATAATTTAACAATGCATTTAGTAGCTCAGAATATATAATACTGAATGATAAGATGATAAATTAATAATTAATGGGAAAGGATATGGAAGGAAGTGGCCATAGCCTAATTTAATGTTTTATTCCAACATTTGCATGGAGGGACTGCAACTACCCACAAAACACCTTGGTCAGGATAGCCAGAATCTGGGCCTAGATTTCAATCTTGGACCTCCCAAATATGAAGAATGAGTGCTAACTAAAGATTTAAAGATTAAATATGTGAAACTATAATTTTACATGTTCTTTGGTATGTGCTTGAAACTCGGTCTCTCTCATTAAGGGTGTTTGAGAACACGGTGCTGAGCAGAATATTTTGACCTAAGTTAGAGGAGGCTACAGAGAACTGCATAATGAAGAACTTCATAATGTGTGCTCTTTATCAAATATTATTAGGATGATCAAATCCAGGAGGAAGAGACAGGAAATGTAGCTTGAATGGGACATTTGAGAGATGCATATAGTGTTTTGATCGGAAAACCTGAAGAAAAGAGACCATTTGTGAGACCTAGACATGGAAGGGTTGATATATTAAACTAAAATTGAGTGAAATGGGGTATGAGAATGTGGACTAGAATAATGTCCACCACATAACTCTTATATTTGTGCTGCAGTATCAACCATGACATGCCATACAGTTTTCAGTGTTCTTTAAGTTTTGCTTCAAGTTATATGTCTTTTCAAATCCCAACATTATAAAACTGTTATTTGGATATATGTAGAAGTTTGAGTTATTTCATGCCCTGAATTTATAAAGTACTAAATGAGTAATGTTATAGCAGATATGTTAAGCCATAAATGTATTATAACGTATTGGTCAGCTGTTCGTGTGATTTGTACAGCAAAGCATATCAACACACCCCCGGTTGCTGTGATCTCCCCATCATCCCAAACAGTGAAGCTCCCAAACAGTGGAGCAGTTCTGGATGGCTCCAGTAGTAGTGATGATGATAAAATTGTGAGCTGGCATTGGGAACTACAGCAGGGGCCTCTAGGTTACCAGCCTCATTTACAAGACACATCCACACTTCAGCTTGACAATCTGGTGGTACCTGGAAACTACACTTTCAAGTGAGTATTTGGATTCAATACTTCAAGTTGACAAGATATCACATGCATTTTGTGCCATATTTAATTTAAATTCTTTAATCAGATAAGAAATTTCTCTATTTTATATTCTTATCAAAATGGTAATAAATTACACCATTACTTCCTTCAGTGCTATAAGGTGAGGCAAAGAGGAATATAAATTAATAGTGAAATTTAGTGATCCATTTCTATGCATAATTTTGACTAGTGCAGATTTAGACTCTGTTAAATTTGACAGACATAATCTAAAAATTTCATATTATCATCATATTTATCATTGATAACATATGAAATACAAAGTTTGTAAGTATGTTCATGACCTGTCTCCATATAATATTACATATGTCTAACTGCAGTGGTTCATTATCATCAGACTGGAAGCTGAGTAGGAAAGGAAATAGGAAAGTAGGCAAGAAAATGGGATTCAGTTACTAAACATGTCAAAACATTTGAGCACCAGGAGAAATGAGGCACAACAGACCAGGCTGGCACATTCCATTCATCAAATTAAAATCTGATTCAGGTTGACTGTTGAAGACTCACACCATGTAACTAACTCCACAACTGCCAACATAACTGTTTTGAAAGTGACAGATTATCCTCCTGAAGCCAATGCAGGGCAGGACATCATTATGTACCTTCCACACAACAAGCTTACACTGAATGGCAGTCTGAGCACAGATGACAGAGGTATCGCCAGCTGGGAATGGACTAAAAGCCCATCTGATCAGGACAAAGCTGTAGACATGCAGGTAGGGCGCTGCTCTTATATCTTGAGTAAGTTAATGGTTAATTAGAACTACTGTGAAATTTACAGGTTGTCATCATCCTGACCAGCACACGGATGTTTAAGTTTTTGCAGGTTGTAACTTTGTAAAGCTCTTTCTGCTTCCTTCTGTCCTCACATCCTCTTCACTTGCATGTATCTGCATGCTTTCCTGTTATATCTGTCTCCATTTGCCTGATCTCTCCACCTCATTCATGATTTGATTTATGCCTGGACCTGCTCCTAGTATTCTGTCATTATCTGTTCATGCAGCATAGCCAAACTATTTTAGTCTTTAATATTTGTTTTCTGGGTTTTAACATGTGGACTTGCATGTAGATCAAGTCCACATAGCATTACAACACCGAAGACATCTTCATCACCATGAGAAACCCAAATCTCACTCATCTTAATTTCTGCAATATATCTTCTGAAGATTCTTTGTTCTCTTAACAGCAGCCTCATCTTTTGTTTTATTTCTCCTGGTTACTCCAGTGTATGACTTTCAGCAATCTCATCCCAGTGGAATTTAGAGTCCTTAAGTTGCTTATTGATCCATGCCCATACATTAATTCCAAATTTTAGTAATGATATGAAACAGCCTTTATTTAAAATTTATTTGTCTTTCTCCGATATTCTATCTTTCATATATCTTTCATTGGATGATAAATGGTTACAATAATGCAGATTAATGATCTCTCCAGGTTTTGATTATGTTTCATTTCTTGAAGCATGTAATGAAATTTTACCATTCTTTGTAGAACACCCGGACACCGTATCTCCAACTATCAAACTTAGAGGAAGGGATGTACACGTTCGTCCTGAAGGTTACAGATAACTCAGGGCAATCTTCCTCAGCTGAGGTCCATGTCTTTGTGAAGCCACCCACAAACAAGCCTCCAGTTGGTATGTGATGAGTTGTCCACATTTCCTTTGATTGCATGGCTATGTTTTGGAAACAGCTATTTAAAATTATTACTTGTTTACATTCATACATCCAAATTTTGAGAATAGAAGAGCATTCAGACATTTAAAGTGATACACTTTTGTAATATTTTGTTCATACATGAAATATGTGTGTATCATCTGTTAGACAATAATTTTACACTGACCTGTACAGTTTTCATTAGCTGTGATTCACTTCTGTTAAATCAATTGAGTTTTGCCTTTATGTTTAGGAAACCAAAGACTGAATCAAGTAGTAATGCCAGGAAAAAGAAGGTTGTGTTTCATCACTCAAATTAACCAATATTTATTTTACAGCTAATGCTGGGAAGGACATTACTGTTTCTTTGCCTCAGACATGGGTGCTGTTGGATGGATCTCAGAGCAGTGATGACATTCAAATAACTGCTTGGAAATGGGAACAGCTCGGGTGAATGCACAGTTAAAATTCTTGTTTCTGCTCATGTCAAAGAATATGAACAAAATTCCTAGTTAGTGTCGATGCAGTGAGTCTTTTTTCAGTTTAACCATTTAGTGGCAGTCTCCAAAGATTTTATATATGAAAAGGGAAGTCCGTGTTGTATTTATTGAATTTCCAATTATTAAGATAAATGGTTTCTGCAGCTGTTATGAAATAATTAAATTTCCTGCCATCAGTGATGGAGTTGGTCATCTGTACCACCGGAGATTTAGTTTAGAACTTCTGCATATCTTTACCATTGATCCAATTGTTGTTCACATTGTAGAATTAACTATACTGCTGAAGATAGCTGTTTTCTGGGTTGTTGCGCCATGTAGTCTGGTAGAAGTTTACCAACGTTTCAGAGGTCCTTGCTACCTCCATCATCAGGGCAATGACCCTGATGATGGATTGGTAAACTTCTACCAGACTACATGGTGCAACAATCCAAAAGAAAGTCATCTTCAGATCCACCATCGCAAAAACCTGTAATCCTGCTTAACAACACTGCTGTTTTTGTGACTGTTCTCATAGGGGTCCCAGTAAAGTGGTGTTTTCTGCTAGCAACAGTTCTCACACAAATGTGACTGAGCTGACAAAAGGAGAGTATGAAATCCAACTGACTGTAACTGATGATAATCACAACAATGCCAGTGATTCAGTTGTGATCACTGTCACACAAAGTAAGTTTGTTTCCCAGTATGCTGTGTTTTCCTTTTGTATTTGTCAGACTATGCATATTATTTTTGTTTATAGTTTCTTTTTGTAGTACAGGATTTGTATGAGAAATGCATTAAGATGTTATATGCCTACAGAAGGGGGCAATAAAACAGCTTTGAAAAGGTACCAGGGATGTTAAATGTAAAATTATGATTCACGCCACAGTCTGCAAGCTTACTTGAGTTAGTCACAGCTGAGTGACAACCCAGGATATTATGAGTATAATAACCAGTATAATGGAGTACAGTGATAATTAATCATCTGAAGATGAAAATAATCTTACTTCTGAAATGTAATGTATTTTACATATACTTCAGATGACTAACAACTTAATAATATTTGTTCTATTGACTTTCTTGTTTTACAGACAAGAATGCCAAGCCCATCGCACGTGCTGGAGAGGATCAAACTGTCATTCTCCCAGTTAGTGTTATCATATTGAATGGCTCTCTGTCAAGTGATGACCTTGGCATAGTTAAGTGGGAATGGATACGAGAGCCAAGTAGTCTTGCACTTGGGCGAGTCATAGCCAACTCTGATCACTTGCCTGTGCTGATGGTAAGTTGTGGCCAATTTTAAACTGTCTCTAACATTATTAAAACATATACAATGTTTAAAGCAGGCCATTTTTTATGATTTCTGTACCTTCTCCATATGCACAAAAAATTATCATGGAAATTAGAGAAAACATGTATATAGTATCTAATCCTCTTTGCTTGGGAAAATGGAAAGTATGTGTCACTGCCATGAGAGCACTAACAGATATTCTTCTTCAGCTCACAGATGTAGTACCTGGCCGCTATGTCTTCAGTCTACGTGTTACTGATGAACAGGGTGAAACACATGAAGACACAATCTCTGTCATTGTTAAAAATGGTAAGTGATACAGGAAGTTATTTAAATAAGAGTATGCTACAGTGCACATATTTATATTGTTCACCTTTGCTATACTGAATTGATATGTTTATTTAATTTTGATATTATTTAGTTGCTTTATGTCAGCATTTTGGCTTGTGAGGATCCTCCCATTGGTTTTTCCCAGCTCTTGGAAAGAGAAATCAAATGTAGCATTTTATGACAATGGTTACTGTCTGCACTTTGTATTTTCTGTATTTAGATACAGCTTCATATGTAGTACTCACGGAGGGAAAAAACACAAATTTTGTTTTAAAAACCTGAAGAAAAGACACCACTTTGGACACCTACTTATAGACGAAAGAATAATATTAAAATGGATCTTAGAGAAATATGTTGTGAATATGTGAACTTTATTGACCTTGTACTCATTAGGATTCATTAGCAGATTTATCAGGCAGTCCAGGTGAATGGTGTTATGATTGTCATGTAGTTTTAGAATCTGAAATTTGGGGGAGGGGGGTGTTATAAGAACCTTATAACGCTGCAGGTAAAAATAGTTCATAATATTTCTGTAAATACCTGTCTTTGTGGTTGCATACTACAATTAGATGTTTGCATCTGCAGATCCACATTTGTTCCATTTGGTTGAACTAACACTGAACATTGAGGGCCACATGTTGACAAAGGCCCAAGAATCTTCGCTGGAGATGAAGCTGTCATTGCTGCTGCGTGATGAAGCAGAAATACATGTGCGCGAACTGCGTACAGAAGATCACACAGGCAGAGCAGTCATTGTGTTCTATGTGGAACAGAGAAATGGCAAAGGTGTGTTGCCAGGCCCAGCTGTTGTAGCAAGACTGAAGGAGAAGCTGATGCAAGACTCAGGGCTACTGGAGCTGTCTGTGGCCAACATTCAGACCACTGTGTGCCAAAATAACTGCTCAGGTATATGGCATACAGTACAGATGAGTCATCACTGTGCTTCTCAGGAGCTTCCTGTAATGTAAAGGATATGTTTTAAAGAATGCCATACACTGTTCTTTGAACCATTTTGCTTAAACTGTGAACTGTTTTGTAAAGTAAGGAACTGGTGTCCATAATTCAATTAGTAAAGTGACAGGCTGTGGGCTGATGAATCAGAATTGTATTCCTTAGAGGTAAGTAGAAATTTCTCTCTTCATTTTCAGATCAACCATCGGGCCCGCACAACTTCCTACCCAAAGTTCCTACATATTCTTTGATTTCGGTTAAATTAGGTGGAATGTGAAGCTGACTGTACATCTACATCTAATGCTGAGGGCTTGAATGTGTATAGCCCCTATACAGCTTCAAGCTATGGTACTTAGATATATAGGCATATTTACATTTACTGTTATTTGTATATTTTTGTGTTTTCTACAACAGACCCAGTGCTCACAGAATTCTCTCCCCCACAATGTACATAAGTATGTGCAGGAAACATTTGTGTGGTTTTTCTATGTGCAATGTGTAAAGAAATTCTTACATCACGTGTGTAAATATAGTATTTGTGTTGTGAATGTGGCACTGTTTATTATGTCATGCAGGTCATGGTGTCTGTGACCAGACCACTCGGCAGTGCCTCTGTGAGGCGTTCTGGATGCAGAACCTCATCACAAAACATCTTGGAAGTGGTGACTCAAACTGCGGTAAATTTAATATTTTGTCTCAAGTTCTTGTGGGTGGTAGTGTCTTCATTGGCAAGTCTGGAAAAATGATTACATACTCATTACTGATATGTCTGAAAACATAACATCCACAGGTATGTAAAGAAGAAGTTTGTTTAGAAGTTCCCTTTAAATGCAGCACTCTCCAGCAACCTGAAAGATCTGTCTTAAGTTCTTTACATTGTCTTGATCTCATTGGATCACTCAGCAGTCAATGAGAAAAGATAATTCTCAGCTTGCCATATACTAAATTGGAGTTCAAGATTGTGCATAAACAAAACACCTGTATTTGTAATGTTGTTTTTGAAAGTGTCAGTTAGTGTATAGCCTCTGTGCAGCCCCAGTCAGTCCTGTGAATTAAAAAGCTTAAGAAATACTTGCTATTGTCATATAAGTGTACTATGCGATTGATAATCTAAGTATGTATACTCTGCTGGGTGGTGTTTCAGACTGGAGCATCCTGTATGTGGTGATAGTCCTGTTTGTCAGTATTCTGCTAGTGGTTGGGTGTGGCTGGGGAGTGATGTCTCTGTGCCACCGTGCCTGTGCACGTCGGCCACACAAACGTCAATGCTACTCACTCCTGGATGAAGGTGAGGATGATGCTATGATCCCCAGAGGTAAGGAGGTTGCATTCAGTTGCGTGCATGAAGTCTCTAGTCACGTCACATCTGCATGGTACTTGAGATCTACATAATTTGTTTTATTCTTTCATGTTCTTTAGTTAGACAGTTTTGTCATTTTTGCACACCAGTCAGTTCTAATGCTAATGATAATTTCTTTCAATTCAACAGTAACACATGGAAAAATCATGCAATCAGAATCTGATTCAGACTCGGATATCTTATTTGAAAGCTGGAAGTGCAGGCAGAATGGAGATGCACGGAATGGACATGGGAAAATCCGCAATGGCTTTGTAAAGCCAGGACGTCGGATCAAAACCTGAAGCATTTCAGTGAAATATATATATATTTATATAATGAGCTATTTGAATGAGATGGACAGAAGCAGCTTACCAGGAAGTCAGGAATTTGGATGCCTATTAAACAAAACTGGAGAAAATATAGCCTGAATGGTTATAGTAGTTTTGTTGTTGGTGTTATATTGATGTTTTCCTGATTATGAAGTTTGATACATTGATTGTCTATGTACCTTATATCATGCAAGTAAAAATTTGTTTTGCAGCTTCTTCATAAGAGAATGCCTATATTTTAAAATTGAAATATTTACTGATTGTGATAACACAGAACAACAACAAAATTGTGACTTGCAAGTAACAATACAATTTTTCTTTTCTTTTACTATTTTGGATGTGTTACCAGTATATTAACCCCAAATTTAACAGTTGCACTAATTTATATTCCAGAACATGCTGCTTTATCAGAAAATATAACATTGTTGAGACAGAAGATGACTCTCTAATGGGTTGTAGCACCATGTAGTCTGGTAGAAGTTTACCAACATTTCAGAGGTCCTTGCTTCCTTAATTATCAGGGTGACGAGTATACCACTTGAAATACAGGAACCAGTCAATCAAAGTTCTGCCTTGACTGCCTGATTCTACGTGCATGGCTTACTCATTGCCCAGATGATGTTGCAGCAACAGTCTGAAACATTGTTAAACTTCTACCAGACTAAACAGTGCTACAGTCCAGAAGACTGCACATCACTTTGAGAACCTCAAATCCTACATTACTCAGATAGTCTGTTTCATTAACATAAACCAATATCTTGACTTCCCCATTCATTTGATTTCAGTCCATTAGATTTTTTTTTGAGGGTTATGTAAGGGACAAAGTGTACTGGAAGGTGACAATTCCACAACCATTAAATGAAAGAATATTGGAATCTACACTTGCAGTTGGAACACACATGGCAGCAAGTGAATTATAAGAAGCATGTTTGCTTATATCAAAATAATACACAGTTTGTTTCATTATTCTATCTTATCATATTCAATAAATATTTAAATTGTAAATACCAGAGTTATTTTATGAAAACCATGTATTGTTTACAAGGGTATATATTTCAATCAGGGGTTATTTGTAGCAGAAGAGATTTTGCATGCTTATTGAACACTTGCTTTACAGTTATCATTAATTTAATAATCTCTTAAGTTTTAAATGTATGGCTATTATATGAGCAGCAGTTTTATTCTGAACACAAAAACGTTCAGTTGGAACAGTGATGGCAAGTGAGTCAGTACTGCAGCTTAGACAGAATGACAGGGGTGAAGAAATGATGTTTCTAGTTTTAAAGCAGTCTAGTACTATCTGACTTTGCTGAACAGTAAGGCAGTGCATTAATACACTCAGTTACATATGCACCATACAAAACATGCTCAGACACTTTCTACAACAAACAGTGCAGCAGATAAATTGAAACTGGGAAATGTAATTATTTCTCTGTGAACACTATGACTTCTTGGACAGAAAACTACACTGTCACAACTCAAAAATGACATGAGTACCATCCAATTAACAGAAAATGTGTGTTCCATTCCTCAGCTGATAAGTTTCCACCATGTTATCTGATTCCTTCCAGTTAAATTACAGTGTATTGTACAATAAAAATGTCATTGCCAATATCAACCTTTTTCAGACACACATGAAAGCACTTAAGGGGAAACTAATCACCATTCCTTTGTGTATGAAGTATATGTCTTTGATTTACTTTCTGAATGAATAATGTACGATGTAGTCAGTAACTTACCCCAGATCGATCCATGTAACAGGTTCTTCTCTGGGTAGTTCAGTTTTCTACTGATACCAAAGCTGCACACCCATCTGTTACCACTCTTAATGTGTGCATGAGGTCTGGCCAGCTGGCTCATTATTTGTGGATTCACATCTCATCTGGCACTGTGGCTGGAATCAAAGTAAGAAAGTTGAGTGCAGGAAGTTTCAGGAAAATTAATAAATGGGATAAATTTAAAGAAGTCTTGAAAGCACTCTATACATGTATGCTATTTTTCAACATATACATGAATTACACACAACATAAAACCACCATGTAAGCATCAGCCAAATTTGGTTTGCACAGGCCTAACTTAGTCGCCCTGTCAGTTCAGTCATTGTACTGATAGGAAAGTTAATCATAGGTACAAATGAAATTTCTTATTAAGAACACCAGTGACTACTACTCTTTTCTTTGTTAATTAAAATTATTTTTGTCACTTCCTCAACAGAAGTAATGTTAGAGTCACCTGGCATGCTACATACAAATATTCCTGTCAGAAGCAGAGATTTCCATCTAAGAATGTGAGAAGCCACACCTCCATTTGTGCATAATGACAGTTATCTTTACTGCATACAAACACAAAATGAGGCATTCTTGCTAAGTAAAAATCAGAATGGAAAGGTTTAAGTAAAGAAATTCATCCAGTCTGAGAATGGGCACAAGTTGAGGTATTTGTCATCACACTGGTCCTGTATCATGCACATAGAAAGTCATGTTGTAGAATGTGGTTCAGCCTGGCAGAGCAGTCATATGGCCAACTGTCGACTTTCAGCTTTGTGCGTGAACACATATATATATATTTAAAAGTATGGTAAATTGTACATAAATTTGATAGTTATATTTGTTAAATTCTAAGCTTGAGATGGATGCATTCCACTGTCTTCTGATTGGTTAAAACAGGGTTCCACTCGAACAAAGAATTATTTTCCATTGTTAAGTACTGTGTACAAAGGAAAAGTATCTAGTCATGCATAAAGTTCTATAACAAAGTTACTATTTTTAAGTATTTTAGTGTTAAGTTATGGCATATTTAAGTACAAGTTATTTGAATTAAAAAGACCTGGCTCATTTGTATTTATGTAACAGAATTAGAAGGTACATAGAAGATACTGAAAGTACAGTACCTATCCTCACAATCTGTCATAAAATAAACACAGCAGTTAATATGACTTCATATAACCTAGCCACATTGTATTCTATCACTACCATGTTGTAAAGTGAGTTATGGTTTCTAAAAATTAGATTATTAATAGACCACACATAACAGTCCACTGACCTACCTGCATAAATTGGCAATATTCTAACAAGGGAATTTATAATTGAAATTTCATATATACCTTCAACCAAATTGTAAAATATTGCCTTGGCAATCTGACACATTCTTCTTTGATAACAGTAAAGGAATTAAATCTTATTAAAATACATTGGCTTTTGTGCATATTTTTTCATTTACAGGATGAAGGGGATTGAAAATTCCCTCTGAGACAATATGTGAATTTTTCTTTTAGTACATAAAGCAGACAGGAGGCAACTTTTTGACAACATTGAACATGTTTTTGTTGGGAAAAGAAAAAAATATTTAGAACTAAACCAGTGAAGATTTTGGAAGATTTCTAACATTTATTTTATGAGTTACCAATATGTAAACTTCATTCACAAACTTGTCTCTTAGTTTGCACCAGTTTCTCAGCAAACAGGATAGCAACAGCTCTATGGATGGCATAGACAAACCACTAAAAGACAAAGCAGTCGTAACATGCAATTAATTTGTCTAAATTGGTATGAGGATAGAACAAGAGGTCTTGTGTTGTTTAAATTCCTCATAAGAAATAGTATTTCTGAAGCAGCTTATTTTATTTACAGTTAACTAATAGTAAAATTGCATAAAATATATGTATCGTACATTCTATTTGATCATTTATATGTATCAAAACGTAAGGTGCCCTAAGTGACTTAACTAGATGGCTTACCGAACCCGAAGATTCATCACTGACTTAACCAAAGCCCTCCACCGGACCCTGTCCTGGGCCAACAAAATCCAGTCTCCTTCAACTCCTATCTCCCATAGATCCCACCTGACATTATTGCCCTAAGTGACTACTGTGTTAAATCTATTTGTCAAAGTTTAGGGTAGTTCCCCAGTATCAGATTTCATCAAAATCTGTCGAGTAGTTTTAGAAATGTCAACAGGCACTTTAGCGGGGGACCACTCATACAAAAACATAACATAATATGAATAATGACTGAATATCAGTGATAGTATAAATGAGGTCTGATTGTGTAAGTCCATCTTTTTGTTTCCAACAGCAGTCTGTTAGGAAACCTTACTTTCTGATACCACTGGTAACTGTATGTCTTACTGCTTATGGATTCCCATTGGAAAAAATTTATATTGTTTAATCATACTGATAATTCAACATATTAAGATCAATATGTAGCTTGTTGTTTGCCAGAAAACCCATCATTTGTAGCTACGGGATGGCTAATTTTATAGCATACACAGTATGTACTGAAGAATGAGAATCTGTGCTATAACTATTATTGTTGCATTATAAATGTTTTGCTACTGAAAGTTGTTTTTCTTCATTTCATATAATCCCTGTTTCCTAACTTCATAAAAATGATGTTTTTTAAGACTTTTCCTGTTAAAAATATAACAAACTTGGAATTCTTGGAATTCAAGGCACTGATGTGTGAACTTAATTGAATTGAAAGGAAAACCAGTGAGTGATGTCTTCTGAAATTTATTTCAGAAGGAACATTCTTGTACAAATTATAAAGGATTAGGTGTGGCCATCAACAAAATATGTGTAAGATATTTTAATAGACTACTGAAAGTAAATATAAAGAAAAAGGAAAGGTCCATAGAGACTGTTATAAGCACGTTTTACTGTATTGTGTTTACAGTTACATGAAGAGTAAGAAATACAAAATATGGGTGTGTTCACTTACCTTCACTTAACATGTTACTGTAAAACAGCATCGACTCCTGAATTCTCTTTTTCATTCCTTCTCTGCACCTTAATTAATTACACAACAAAGGAAGTTTAAATGTTGCAGCAGTGAGCTTAATAAATTACAAAATTTATGCACAGACACTAACCTATTAATTACTGGTACTAGTAACTGTTAAGCCATGTAAAATGGTCTTTAATTTCATACAAAATAAACTGAATGGGGTTAAATGCCATGTCAAAATAAATGAAGTTAAAAGGCTTAGAGACTAAACATGTCATAGATCTGTAAATACGAAGTATTCTAAAATGAGAAATGAAAAGTTAAGATGAAGACTAGACATCAATTCCCATTGCATAACTAGTTTCAACCAAGTTCAAAGAGTTTTGACCCAAAAGAATCTTTCCAATCTAAGTAATAAACCTAAAATAGAAAACGACGTCGTCGGTACTAAAACCTATGACTCCGGCTCCTTCATAAAAGCTCAATATGCTTTAATAATGGTAAACCTAATAAAATGGTGCCATAAGAGATTTCATCACCACCATGTGAATCGTCAGGCTACTTTTTAGACATAACCTATATTTAAATATAAGTCTAATGGTTATTTCAGAAATCGATTGATTTGTAGACAGTTTGTATTCTTAAGGTACCGGAGCCAAAGTTACAAAGCATTATTATGGCTCAGTGCATCAATGAATCTCCGTAAGCATAAGGCAGTCAGCAGCTCACACGGTAGCGAAAGTGTTAAAATAGTATTTTCTTAAGATACTATATCGAGGTCGAGTCGGTACATTTTTACCGACCAGCTAAAATTGCTTCAGACTCCACGATTCCTACTCCACAGCCCTAATCTACACGACTACACACTGTATCAACCCAGAAGGCAGCCATCGTTGGACATATTGCCACAAGATTCTCAAATCTCACCTACTCTTGATAATATTTTAGACATTCATAAACACTTGGGTAGCTTTATAGCACAATACTGAGAGACTAAAATCATTCAGAATCCATGAAGATGTTTGTAGATCAGCATACTTCATGCCTGATAAGGTAGGAAAATTTTGATGAAAGTAAGAAAAAGATCTGTGGATGCAGGATGAGGAAGATTGATTGTTGGTAGGCGCATGTCAACAAACCTCTGCTTATTGCAATCTGTATCTTATATTATTATTCATTGTTAACAAGCATATACAACATCAATCCTGTGTATTTACATCACTAAAATTATATAAATGATACTCTACATTTACAATATTCTATACAACTTTAATTTGTGTGTTTGATATGGAATGTATAGTCACATAATACATGGCTGGGTGGTAGGTGAACATCATCTCACACAAGCACAACCAAGAAACTTGAAAGCAAATCATATCATCCACAACTGAAGAATGTCCATCAATGCAATGTATCTGCATTCTGAAAATTCTGAGTTTAAGATAATGTAACAAACATTCACCAAAGTTTTAGAAATTCATGAATATTCTACTGCAAATTCAGATAGGATTGAATTTTAAAAGCTTCAGACAGTTTAATGAATGTGTTCATATTTACAAAGTGCACACAGCTCTCTGGATATAACGAGATATTTTCACATTATTTTCCTAACAAAGACCACAGAAAATGATACCTGGTCATCTGAAAAGTGGTAGACTATATACACACACAATTAAATTGGGATGAATTTCTTGCAATAATGCCTAAATAAAAACCAGCTGGAATGGAAAATTTGCAACAAATAAAGGAAAAGCAAAACCCATCACAAAATACCAATAATGCTACTTACCTCAATATTTACTTTGTCAGGGACAGAACATTTTACAAAAACAAAAGGTTCTTGTTTAATGGATTTAAGGCTTATCTTGAAAGAAGGTTGTCTATCCACAGCTCAAAAGAAATAGAAAACCTACTCAAGTGTAGCTTTGTCTGCCACAGAGCCTGGATAAAGACCATGTCCAATTGGTGGATGGGGAAATGCGCTAACCATACAACCATACATCAACACATAGTAACTAGTTGAAGGAAACCCACGGTCTTTAATTCATATGAAAATTAAACATACTATATTATGGTTGAAAGGAACAGCAGTTAAACAACCCCTCCCCCTCCAAACTCTTAAAATGTGTTTCTATCACCAAAATTACTTGGAAAAGATATACTAATGAAGGATCTAACATTTGTGTCAACAGGACAGTCATTTTGTAATTTGATATTTAACCTTATTTCAATTCATAATGTTGTGTCTCTGAACCACTAAGCATTTTCACTGATGAAACCGAAAAATTCCTGTGCTACTCATTGGCATTTGCAATTTTAATTATTTCATCAATGCCAACTATAGTTTAGTTTTGTTTTATGTACTACTAAGAAGGCGCAATGCTCTCAATTGTATCTACACTTTCAGATATACTTCTAAGCTTTAGCTGCCAAATTTCCAGCTCCTGTTGGCTGCTTGGTGCTCTGTGTTTGTTCCTTTTCCAGCTGTCTGCCCAAATATTCCCTAAAAGTAAATAATCAGCTATGCAATTTCATGTCATTTTGAACTTTCATAAATTTGATTGATAAACATATATTTTTCCGGACATAAAGCAACATAAGCTTTTGAATAAGGGGTCATACATTTCTGTAGGTGCTTACATCTACTCAGAATTTCAGTATCTGCAAAATGTTTACAGAATTATATATATGCAACTATTTTATTTTCTTCAAAAACAAAAAGAAAAGTGGATGTATGCCAAAAGGCAATTGTTATAATGCAGATACAAATATTTTTTTGAAAGCCATTCACACTACCTGAGATTCATAAATTATATTTCCTTAATTTTTACTGTATCAAAAAATGTTTAAAATAAAAGATGTACAGTTTAATGATGTACATATCTTATGTTATGTATAATTTTTATATGATGAACGATTTCTGAGAAAACCAATAAAACCTGATTGCAATTTCCTGTAAAGTAAGGTTTGTCACAACCCTGAATACCATTAAATTCACTAAACAAATTTTAATGTAGACCCCCAGAAGGTTTGGACATGAATCATGTAGACTACTGCACAAATATGGCATCTCCATTATGCATTCATTTTATATACTCTGTGTGAAAAATCACCTAAAACCATAATTCTAATCTCTCATTAGTAAAGGCACTATTGTCCTTTATTATGCTTCCTATTTAGTTTTTTCACTAAACTATTTCCAAACACCATTGTATTCTATGAGCAAAGAAGTGTTGTTTACTGTTCTAATATTTACTAGAGTCTATGGAACTCACCAGTTGTGCACCATCAATTTCTGAACTGCAAGCAGAGCCTCGTACCGCACATTGGGATCTTCATGACCCAGCAGCTGCATCACCAATTGCTTTCCCCCCAGCTGCTCAATGATACTGTAACATGCATTGTTATAGGCAGGGTAAAGTTCTCCCTCTGTGGCAAATCAGGAGATATAGAGGAATGTATGGTTGTAGCTTATTTTAAGATGCTACTTTATACTTGATTGAAAAAATTGGGCATATTATGAAAAAGTCTTAAAATACAGGCAGTCTTATGATATTGTGAAAACTTTCCAGAATCAGTTAACTGTAAAAACAAATGGAACTTTAATTTCAATGTTACATGTAAACTCACTGTTTGCCTCTTGAGTAGTGGCGGACATATTCGCCAATATCAAAACTTGCAACACTCAGTACTAGAGGGTCTCTGTTTGTTTCCAGGAGGTGAATCAGGATCCGCAGAAGCTCGTAATTCTTCTCATTCAATCTGGGTGCATTTTCTCTCCAGAATTTTGCGGATTTATGTACAGGACTCCACTCCAGGCGGCCAGACTTCACTTCTGTTGCATATTCATCAAATGAACTGCAACATATTAAGCATAAACTTGCTACTTAAAGATGTCTGATACTTCTGACTTTCCAAAATGAAAAGCAAACCCGTATAGGGTAAGTCATTCCAATGCCTGCAAGTTAAACCTCTGAAACTAATAAAAGGACTTCACTTAAATTTGACATTGACAGTCTACAAGAAAGTTGTGAGGTGAATTTAATTTTGATTCCTACCAGTCCAATATAACCCCTTATCTAACATCAAACTCAAATTAAACTTCTCATAAAAACAGGAAAATCAAGAAAACTGACACATGACAAGAAATACAGACATGATTAAGATCCACAACCATTATTTATGTCTTATAATATGATGAATACTTAAATACACAGAAAAGTAATTTTTGACTCTGCAATGTGGTTAATTTACCAGCAATGGATCTAAGTATCTCACAGTGGCGAGTATGTAGATGACTGTATTCTGGGATGTAGCACTGAGTAGTCTCATATAACCTGACCGCCATTTTAGACAACCCATTATCAGGACGATGACTCATTGCCCTGATGATGTAGGTAATAAGCACCTCTGAAATGGAAGTAAATTTCTACAAGACTACACAGAGCTACATCAACAATAATTCTGTATCCATAACAAATTATCAAGGTCATCAAGGTCTGCTAGGTAATAATGAATCTGTTTCGAAAATATATATATTCCACTGGACTACCCCTTTACACGCTTCATTGTTTTTACAAATATCAGCATTCTCTTGTCAAACACCCTAACCATTAGATCCGTCAGGATTAAGACATTTATACAAACCTGAGATCCTGGACTGATGCCTGTAGCTTTTCATTGAGGAATTCAATGTCAGCCACAATGTCTTCATCATCAAATTTTCGCTGTTCTAAGATGCTCAGCTGTTTAAGTACTTTACATTGTACCATAGCAATACAATGCTCCTTTGACACTGTGGATTCCTCTGGCTTCTCTATTAAATTCTGGCAACAAATTAATAGCAAAATCAATGCCTACCTTTCTGAATTACATATTTTAAACTCCCTCTGCATCTATGTAGATTATTAACACACTAAAAGAGGTAAAATCTGAAACCAGGCCAAAAAAAAAGGACCTGATGATAGAACAAACACTACAAAAAATTGTCAAACTATGGGTACAGTAGAATAGGCAACTGTTGTGAATTAACAAAAGGATTCCTTAGAAAGCATAAAAATGAATATGTTGAATAAACAATAGTTTGGGACACCAAGTAAAAGGCAGATGGAATGGGGGAAGATTAGGAATGAGTGAGAATAGTGATGACAACACATCCTGCAGGAAGTGTCAATAGACAATGATGATGGCTGGAACCACTATTAGGAAATATGCATATGACAGCTCATGTTACATTCACATAAGTTTGTAGAGTCTGATCTGTATATCAATAGTAAAGGTACAAGTACCATGCTATACATGACATGATTAATAACTTGAAAATTTGTGGCATTAACTTTAATAACATTTTGTACTAAATCATACTCACCCTGAACACAGCCAGAATGATGCGTGTGACCTTCTCTTTGACAGAATCACTGAGGATGTCTGCCAATATTGGGATCACACTAAACCTGAAACAGGATGTAATTCCTTGCTCCACTTTCCTATACACAATAAAAGTGTAAACAGCATTCAAAACAGCTGATGTTTATGGCTACTGCTAATCTGTTAAATTTATACAAAACTAAATTTAGAATATTATGACTAATAATTGTTATAAAAATAGCCAAGAATGCAACATATGCACCCCCAACTTCACATTTTAAGAACCATCTGTCGTTTTAAAGTTCACAAGGTATATACTGTTAAGTAAGTTGTACAATGGTTGAACTGCAACATGGCTTCAAATCATTTTATGACAGCAGAAAATAAAGGAACATGAGACAAGACTAACCCACTGAGAAAGAGTAAGCAAGGAATATGGCCTGCAAATGAAACAAGAGATGACAATAATGTTAAAATTCTCAAGAAATGGAGGATAAAGTACAGAAGTGAAAATAAATGGAAGAGAGATCAAATAATAAAATAAGCAGATAAATTATCTGCTTGGAAAATGTGGTGAAGAAAAATGGTACAATCCAAAATAAGATAAATGAAAGAATTATCATTTAGCTAAGGGGTTATTTGTTGAATAAAGACATAGAAAATGTAAAATTACAATATTTAACATGTACTTTAAAAAGACACTATTGTATGGAGCAGAGACATGATCGTGTACTAAAAGATAGGAAAGTAAACAACAAGCAGTTGAGATAAAGATGACTGACTTCCAGAATGTTGCACTGTGTAGACTAGCAGAAGTTTACCGACATTTCAGCTATGCTTGGAGCCTTTACAGTATGCATGTTCATAAGTAAAGAATGCAATCAAAGACTTATACCAGTATTTGAAGTTGCAAACACAACAAAATGACTGAGAAGCCCTGTTCAGGGTCCTGTAATTTCTTTATTCCTGGCACAGCACACATATGTTGAGGCTTACTTATTCATTTTCTCAGCCAGCAGAGGGTTGAAGGTGAGAACCCAGAGACAGAAGATCAGTTGGTACTGGACCTGGAAGTTGACTCGTCCCTGAAGAACTGTTAAAAGAGTAGAGATACCATCCACTGCTACAAATGCAAATCTGTACTCATCTATACGTAGCATCATTTGCAGACACCGTGCCACTGACTGCATGTATTCGTTATTCTGGAATAAGAGACCATAAGCTGTAATGCAACACTCCTAACACTTGCCACTCACAGACAGCATCTCAAATTCAAGTTTTTCAAACAGATTGTTTCCAGGGTATATATGACTTAAATACAGAAGCTACCTGGTCACAATTCTACACATGCCCTGCTTTGTGATTTTTCTCAGTCCCTTCAAGTAAATGCTAGGATAATACTGTTCCCAGTTTTGGTCCAGTGATGCAAAAGACTGTCACTCAACACTGGACTCGTGCTAGCTTTCTTCCTTCTCAATTCATTATCATACACCTGAAATCTTATATTCAAACATATCTAAATTTACAACTGATATATGACTTTTAAATAATCTAAAAATCAGCATCTGCATGCCATTATGTGTACTGAATAATATGAGTATTTCAGCCATGCTAACAGGCTAAACCAGAAATCAGCTTGTTAAAAAATATTTGTTCTGATACAACCAACATTTACATGCACTCACGAACATGATGGCCATGTCACAGAATATGATACCATCTAGCCAGACATTTCACATGAAATTTAGCATTTTCAGCTTCTGTTCTCGGTCATTATAATTTAAATAAAATCAGCAATGGATAATGGTTCTGTCGACTGTTACAGTGTTTCCTAGTTTCATTAGCTACAAAGAGGAGTTGAAACTAACACCATCTTAGTCTGGCATATGTATATTAAGTACAGCAAATAAAGATGAATCACTTAGTAGTTTTAGTTAATTTCTTAATTTTATGCGAGTATCTCAGAGCATCTTACAGTCAATGCAAAAGTAAGTTTCATTCTTATACTTTTACACAACAAATGTTTACCCTTTGCCAGCCATGAATTATAAATGCATACATCACAGGTTTGTAAAAATAAGCATATTGTTTGTAATTTTAAGGGTAAAGATTTGTAATAATAAGTATCTCAAAACTCTGAAGCACTGTGAAATAGCCTGACACTTTGAGGCATATATATTTATGCAGAAGATAAAAAATTAATTAAATAAAAGAAACCTCTGCTACCTGAACAGAAAAAATACTGGATCAAATATCTGAAGAATAAAACAAAAGACATGCTTGAAATTAAAGTCAATTCTCAGTGTCCAGCAAGTTCTCTTCCTGAAGTATATCACTCAGTTTAGAACAAAAACCAACCAGATTCTCCTCATGCTGCTCAGCTGGTGTTTTGAAGACATAATCTGGTGACAAATCCTGTGCTGAACGCGAACCATGCAAGTTTGCATCCGTTAGTGCTTCACTCTACAAAAATACAATTGGAGCAAAAAACCAAAATACTTCAAATGCCTCTATATCAATATGGAAGTGAACAGGGAGCTTATGCAGTGTGTAGCAGTTTGAGCACTAAGAGTGGTACTACTTCAGGGGCAGAATTTGTACTAAATGCAAAAGAAATTAACAGCCACATGTTATTCATATGATTACAAGCAATATGTAACAGCAGTTCCAGTAGGAGATATAAGTTACCATGCTGAGCCCTAATATGTCTTTGATTGAAAGAGAATGAGAAGACCACAGAAGCACTCAGTCAGAACAGCCACAACACTAGTCAAAATTACGCAAGCCATACAAGAAACATCAGGCCATGGATTAAGAACTTCTCCTATAAAACAACAGAAAATACTTTTCTAATGAAACTATGCTGTAACATAAAAAATTCCTTCAAAATATATAGATGTATCACTTTGTGGACAGCCAGAAATAAGTTATCACATAAAAACGTGTAGCGCTTCAGATGAAACTGATTTCAGGCTCAAAGGTTATCACCCCTCTAGGGGAACAAATAACAAAATTAAGCAGCAGGACCTTAATCATACCTCAATAAAATATGCAGTCAGAGATACTGACAGTATTGTTAAGCAAAACACAAATAAATAAATAAACAAACATAAATCACAAGTGTACTAGCTTATGCTTCTGTCATGCAGAAAATAAATTACTTGAATCTTCTCCAGTTCAATTCAAGAACGTAGTGCAAGCACCACATTTAAAAACCATTCATGTTCTATGACTTTCAATTAGTTATCAAACATAGAAAATTATAAATCACACATAACAGTAAAATAAACCTCCAAAAAATACAGAATTTTGTTTTTAACAAAAAAAATTAAAGTATCTTCATATAATATAGCCTGAGTATCATAGTATGAAGAATAAAGAATACATTCTAGTGCTTAACACTATAAGCTGAGGGTAAGCGTTATGCTCGGACAGCTTTACACTTGAAAAACAGCATCCAGTACTCACTGGGTGGGTCCTAGAGCCATTTTGGATGTTGTGACAAAGAAAAACATATTATTTCTGCAAGGAAATGAACTCCAGTCATCCAGCCCATAGCCAGTCCCTTCACTGACTGACGTATCAGATCCCATAGGTTACTTAACTCTAAATAAGCAACTTCCACTTAGTTAAAAACCAAATTTGTCCCCCCCCCCCTCACACTTTTCTGTATGCATGTTTCCTTATATTTTAATTATTTTGTTTCATTATTTATAACTGTTTTCACAATAAACACCTATGTAGTTTTTCCACCCTACCAAGTTTATACCAGTTGGCCTAATGACAGTCTTATAAAACGTTTGACTTTATGTTCAGCAACATGTTGGTGACATTACATAGTGAATTTATCAGAAAAAGCAATTAAAAAACTATTCCTACATTTTTCTCCCAAGCATGCCTTGGCTTATAAAGACAGGTGTAGACTGCACAAGATAAAACAAACAAAACTACATCTAATCTGTTAGTACACAAAAAACATCCATGCATCACTACGCAACAGTTCTTAGATAGACAATGCCAGAAAGGGAAATAAAAACTATGTTAAAATATGGCATAATTATTTCTATACAATCTTTAATTACCTTATAAGTAAAATACTGGATTCAAACTGACTTATGCACTCATGTAATACAACACAAGATACCTACTTAATTATTTACTAAAACAGAGTGGTAGATCCTGGTGATGCACACAGAAGGAACAGAAGTCAATGAGGGCATCTTCACCTCTTCATGGCTGACTTATCAGTGATGTTTCAAAACAAGTTACATGTGTTATAATATGTATCTACCCCAAGCAGCTGATTCTGCCAAAGCCCCCTTAACTTCAGCCTCTCCTGTATGCACCATAAAGTGTCTTCACTTTGAAAAGAATTTTAGTCATGTTATAACCCAAATCAAATATATCTGTTAATACTTCATTCCAAATAATCAGATGTCCATAAATTAGCATACAATTTGAAGGGTGTGTAATTATTTATTTATAATGCACATGAAAAACTCGTACTACAAAACAGTCACATACCATTCAAAGCTCATACGTTCCTGCTGTTTGTAGAGCAAAAGATTTTCATGTGTTACAAATATATAATTATAAGCACTTCAAATCATATGCTTATGAACACTCTGTATTAATTAAATTTTCGTAAAACTCATTCAAGCCCTTTCAAGTACTGGATGTAATTAAATTTAAAAAATAAACATCACATTCATGTGTATGCTTGTGGCAAACTGTATACATTCAATATAAGCCTACAACAAAAAAACTGTCTTCAGATCAAAAACCGCTCTCACTGCTTTAGTAAATTAATTTAATTCATATACCCAAATTTGGTATCTTAAAAGCAGGAAAATTACCTGATACACAAAAAACTTTTGGTTTTTTAAGTAGCCCTAACAAGACTACATTGGTGTACTCCAGATCAGAGAACGAATATATTAAAAATGTACCCTAAAAACCTAGCTTTTTTATTGCTCTTTATGTTAATTTAGTTTGATCCAAATTTTTGTACATAGGAGTAATAATCAAAAGAACAGTACACTGTAAGAAAAGGATTCCTTGGATTCACATGAATGTGGTGCCAAAAAACATGCAGTTAGAAAACAATCAAATATCTCAGGATTAGCAAGTTACATTCTGCTTCAGCTGATCCTTCAACCAGGTGAGGTAAAACTGTAAGTCTGAACGATCCATCAGCTCCTGGTTCCAGCAGGCAATCTTTGCAATTATCCTTGAAGTCATATTCATAATGAAACCATCAGGGCGATTCAGAAGATTCAAGAATGGACCCCATACTGATTCTCGTTTCTTTAATGAGTGTTCACGAAAAATTTCCACACGTGAATGGTCCTCCTGAAAGAAAGTATGTTCTAAATGTTATGTCTACATGAAACTCAGAAAGAGCAGCTGATTTTTCTTAGATTTACATCAGCTACATTATTTTCTTAGCCTTCAAATCAACAAACCTGCAACATGTCATCAATCATTACTAGAATGTACTGTATGGTCTGATCCTTAGAAACATGCCCCAGCAAGTTGAGGAATGTCTTTGCACACTGGCTACGATTATCTTGAAGCTGCGCTTCCCGACTTGCTGCATCAGCATTATCAAATGCCACAATGAAGGTGTAATCTTCTTGTGAAATCATCAGAGACCTAGAAAATGAAAACATTCAACAGTTCTGTAACTTCAACATGGCTGCCCATTGTAAATAATGAATCTTCAAAGAACAAGTGTGATTCTTTCAAGTTTGGTTAGTAATCACAAATGAAACCTACATTCACTTACAAGTTTCAAGAGTCAAGTTAAAGTGGTTTGTTGTACTATTGGCTGAATAAAATAAAACAATAATTAGAAAGACTGGGTATGGGAGCTGATAGACAAGAACTTCACAAGTATTGAACAAAAAATTGCAATTAGGACAGCTAAAAATAAAAACAATGACAAAGTGCAAAATGTCCAGTTAAATTTAAGCAAGCATAAAGAGAAATGGAAAAGGCCAGTGAGGAAACACGAGAATAATAAATTAGGAGGTAAGAAAGGTGAGGGATAGCAGTATAATTTAAAATGAGAGTCAAGAGTGAAAAACTGTTAAAACAAATGTAAATATTTTTAGAGCTGAACATAAAAATAGTCATGTTCAACAATGTAAACTCTAACAAATGGATTAAAAATAAAATATCACTGTCATTGTCATTGTCAGTATGCTATCCTCTTCAACCCACAAAAATTTAGGAAAATATTTAAAGCTATATTTCTGATCAGTTATAATATGAAAAATTCATACTTACTGGTGATAAGACTGCCAGTTTACCCGCTGGTTGCGGATTTCTGTTGCTTGCTGCTGCAACACACTTGTTGCAGCTAGCATATCTGCAGCATAAGAAACAAACAGTATATAAGCATAATAGTGTATGGTCAAATTTCCCATATAACTGAAATCTCACATGTACACTTATTTTAGGAACCAACACAATGGTGAAGAGTCCTTAAAAAAACTCAGTCAAGAAATTTTATACCTTTTATGGAACACAAAAGTTCACTACCATGACACGATACATCTAACACTCAGAAGTCTAAGTGTGTTTAAGATTCTGCAATGTGATAACATTATCCTCTTTACATTTATGAGTACATACTTATACACTTACTTTACTATTCTGATACTATTATCATTAGCAGTTTCATGTAAACTCTCATTCCAAACAGTTGGTATGGAAATATTTTCTTTCTCAACATCTGCATTTAAATCTCAGCAAATCTTTCATATGGTACTTATGGAACTGACTGAATACATGTACCACTTCCTAATAAAAAAAAAAGTGGTAGTGGAATCATGGTTCCAGAGAATTTGACGTAAATACGTCTATACGGAAAGGAAGTTTATATATTGGCTTTATTCTAAATATTTCCTTTATACATGCTTTACAATTGAGATAAATTTGATTAAGACATTGCTTA